CTAGGGGTGTGGGTAGCAGGGATCTTGTTGGTTGCTTCTGTGGAGAGGCCCTAGGTCTGGGGCAATCTCTCCCTAGAAGGCTCACTCACTCTCTTGCAGGACCAGTTGGAATGCACAGGGGTTCCCCTTGCTCACTACTCTCTGTTTTGGTCCTGCTGCAGAAGTCACGGGTAGGCTAACAGTCATCTCTGTGGCACTGTGGCCGCAGGACTCGGTGTCCACCTTTCCTGTGTGCTGCCTCTTTGTCCTTTCCCTCTGCCAGGAGGGGTTATGTTGACTGGTCCCTGGGTGGCACAGGAAAGAGTTAGGATGAGTGTACTCAATCCCAGATCCCGGGCCCAGATTTCTCTGCCAGAAGCAGCCTAGCAGTAGAATCTATGTTTGCTGATCCCAAGACATTACCAGGTAGGGTTGAGTGTCCTCAGATCCAGAGCTCAGGTTTCTCTGCTAGGGGCCGCTGGGTGAGCTAGAGAGAGGGTGCTGTGTCCTTAGCAGGCTGCCTCTCTGTCCTTCCCCTCTGACCTTCTCCTCTGCTTGGGCAAGCTTATGGAGGAGCTCTCAGGGGAGTGCCAGCAGGGGTTGGGGCTTCTCAGTAGGATCCTGAGCCCTGAGCCGGCGTTTCTCTGCCAGGGGTCGGGGGGGGTGGTGCCGGTGATAGAACTTGTTGCTAGACCTTATTGCACTGGACCCAGGATAATCTCAGGACGTGTAGAATGACCACAGTCCCAGATCCCGAGCTGTAGTTTGTTTGCTAGGAGCGGCCGGCAGCACTGGAGTTCTGGCACTGTGAAGCCGCTGTGTGCCTCTTTATCCTTCTGCTCTGCTGCGGCAGGGTTATGGCGGCATTTGGGGGAGTGCCTGAAAGGATTGGGTTTTCTTAGCCCCGATCTCGGGTTGGGGTACAGACAATGTGGTCTGTGGCAGATTCTGCTGGATGCGTTCTGCCTCCTCCGAAGAGGGAGTAGGGATTCTGAGCTGGGCGCGCAGCTGCACAGCTGTAATCAGTGTGCGGCGGGAGCTCAGTTGTGATGGCGGCGGGTACCTGTGGTTCGAGAGACCTTCCGGGGAAAGACTGGGTGACCCGTGACCAGTCTGGCAACTTTGCTTCCCCGTGGGGTTTTTTTTGCGAATGGGACTCTCAGTCTCAGACACCCTTGTGCCCACCAATCAGCCTGGGAAATTGATCGTGATAAGCAGGCTGATGGTACCAGCCCGGAGACCCAAAGCCCGCGTTAGCCGGGTTCTCTTCCGGGTTCTGGCTGGGCAGCCGAGAGTGGACCCGACTGATTCCCACGCCGTGGGAGCCTCCCCTCACCTGGGAAACATGATCGATCGCTGTTGTTTTAGGGTCCAGAGTTCAGTCTGCTGGTCGCTGCACCAAGTGTGTTGTCCCGCTTCTCAGACACAGTGTTCTCCCGGTGCCGCCATCTTGGCCCCCCACAATTACTTTTCTACAATGAAATGTCACTAAGTAAAATTCAACCAAACCCTAGGGTAGGCCCTGTGTCCAGAAATTGTTATCTAACACAAAATAAACTACAGGTTTTTGTTTTTGTTTTATGAGCTTTTTGTTCTGTTTTGTTTGGGCGTTTTCTTCCAGTGGTTTTTCTCTTTGATTCTTTTGATTTTCTTTTCTTCAAGTTTTTGTTTTGGTTTGGGGAGAATAGCACAAGAAAGCAAACATGAAGTTAGGTGGATAGGGAGGTGTGCAGGATGCAGAAGGTGTTGGGGGAAGGAAATTATGCTACCAAATATATTGTATAAAAATTTTTAAGTAAGAAAAATTAAATAACATCATAAAAAATAAAATACTCCAGACCAACTGTGATACATACAGCAGGCACTCAAAATAGTACCAGGAGTACAGGAGTTTCCATATTCTCCTTGTTACTCTATCCTATAAAACACTGAAGACAGCCCTTGGCTGTAGTACTTAATGATATCTTATTATTACTAAATAATATGCTTGAAAGTTATACATAAAGTGATCCCTTTTATTTATCAGCAATCTCTTCCAGCATGGTTCTTGGTCTAAGGGGTAGATGGAGGGAAAATGGCAAGACTGGAGTTAAGTCCAAAAAGCCAGAACCCCTTGCACACTGTTCATCATCCTTCTCCTTACTCACAGGGACTATAATTACAATCAGAAAGTTTTTGGGTTTGGCAAATGACAGAGCACCAGGGAGAAGGCAGGGCTGGTCTCAGGGATGGAGACAGAGGAACCTTTTCCCCTGATAAGCCAAATTCATGGGTGTGACATCCTGACACCTTGCCTGCACACAGGGACTTGAGGTTAATAAAAGGGCCTGGCTGGTGCTGTGAGGACACCTACCCTGAGTCCTGCACAGACTGCACAGGTAAGTGCTGCATGTCATGGTAGATGAGGCTGCATTTGATATCAGAAGAATCTGTGGAGGGCTGAAGTGTGAGAGAGAAGGATGTGGGCTCCCCATCACTCTGGGAAAGGAAAGTGACAGGATTCGAGGAGAAGATGGTCACTTCCAAACTGCAACCCAGAATTGTGTCAGGTGAAACAAGGAGAGTGTGTGAGGTCAGAGCTGCTCCTTCCCCAGGGCAGGCAGGGTTAGGAGACAGAGGCAGCTGCAGTGCAGCTGGAGTAGGAAGCTCTTGCTCACTCAGCTTCTGCACAATCTTTGTGTGATTTTCCCTCCAAAGACTGAGAACTTTGATCTGAGCGGTATGACTTCTGGTGACTTCAGTCTATGTGGATGGAGCACTCTCTCTTTATCATGATTTCATTTATGGTGAATTTCCCCCTTCCTAGACCCAATGTAAACCATGGAATATGAGAATTCTGGATAAAACAAACATGAGGCTAAATACTGACAGTAGCAACTGATTTTTAAAAAGGGATCTTTAGAGTGTGCTGAACGCTTCCCTAGGCACTATGCCTGTCAATTTGTTGCCTCTGAAAATACACCTATATAGCATAATTTATATATTAAAAGTCATTTTTTAGAAACCAAGATATATGCTCAAAGTGGTAAATATATAAAATAGAAAATCCAGAATTTTAATCCACATCAAGTTGTCACAAAGCATGTTCTTGTGAATCCTGAACTTTCTATGTAAAGTTCTGGTCTCAAGTTGTCACAAAGCATGTTCTTGTGAATCCTGAACTCTCTATGTAAAGTTCTGGTCTCCCTTAAGCTTCTAGAATATGTATAACCTTCCACCATGTCAAAACTCTCATTTAACGATGAACACCGACTGAACTGGTTGATCCTAACGTGGTGGAAGCAAGAAGCTTGTGAAAACTAACTAAAATGTGCACACGTACAGTGAAGAGCTGGCTCTGTGATTAAGAGTACTTACTGCTTTTTCAGAGTTCTCTGATTCAATTATCAGCACCCACATGGCAGTTAACGACCATGTACAACTCCATCTTCAGGAAATCCAGTGCCTTATTCTGTCTTCTTCAGGCATCAGGCACACGAGTATTTCCCACACATATATGTAGACAAAACATGCAAACACACAAAAATGACCAGCATTAAAAATAAATAAAATAAAATGTAAATCTCTTTCTGATGGTTCCTGAATAGACGTAAATGGATAACTTTTGTATTCCAGGAGTGACACTATTCAGGAAACAAAGACAGCTTCCTCATTTTAGTTTGTGTCACTAATGTCTCAAAAAAAAAAAAAAAGAGGTACATCTTTATAAATACAAGCTAACTAATGTACCAAGGCATCTGTCAGGTCATCTCAGCAGGAAGGGGTTTTATATAAGCAAACAGACAGCACAGTCCATAGTGTTTGGGGAAATTGTAGGAGACACATTTGTGGCCTGTGGTCAGTACTTAGCTGTGTAGGATAGAGGCTAGAATTGGACCACAAACAGAACATCACAGGTACCACTGTGGCATTATCCATACCCTTGTAACAGGGTAAGTTCCAGTATGTCACATGCTTAGGAGAAGCTGAAAGTAATTCAGAGATAAATGGGTGAAGAGTGTGGAGTACCGAACTGTGGAATTCAAGTGTACTTAAGGTCACCCACATAAAACTACTTACAATTTATAAAACTGGAAGCAAAATTAATAGATCATTTTTTAATCCTCATTTGAACTTTAAACAGAATTAGAAGAAAATGGGTGTTATGTGTAAAAATACACAAATCAGTATGAGGTATTGAGTTGCTTGTCCTTTATAGGTTAGAGCATTATTGGTTGATAAAATCACTGAACCTTAGAAATCAAAATGATATGATGTGCCTTTGTTTGGAGTCCAAAAGAATAATGCTTAAGCTGAGAGCTAAGAATTGATGATACCTTGGCAGAATGTTCTTACGGAATAGTCAGGAAAAGCACATAACTAGAAGGATACATTCCATTTAATATGATCCCACCCATGAGATGGTAGGGAACAAAAATTAAACACACCATTTCACTCAAAGTGAGAGGATAGGCTATCTACTATCCAAACAATTAATCTATGTGTTATTTGTTGCCAAGGTCAATTCAGAGTTGGAGACAAAAAAAAAAAAAAAAAAAAAAAAAGTTGCATGACTTTTCCTGGGAAGAAACACCACTTGGGCAAGCATTAGATTTCTTTGGATTCGCTACAGTTTTTTTTCTTAGTTCAATGTGATTCTTAAGGGATGAGTGTGTACAGGATGGCAAAGAGGATCTGAGAAGAGAGGCATCTAAGCTTATGCTCAGTATCATGGCTTGGAAATTGAGTTATGCCGTCCTTTGGATATTCTCATGGAAAAGTTTAGAGATGGAGGAAGAACTACTTTCTCTAAAGGCAGTGAACGCACCAGCATGGCTTTTATGTCCAAGTGTCATCATCATCATCGCCATGTCGGTGAAAACAAGAGCAGAAAGTGCAAAAAAAATTTAAGGCACCCATAAACAAAAACTCTCTTCATTTACATAACACACTTTTCTTTTCACTATAGAAAACCTACAGGCATGAACCATTCCAAGTTTACTTCTTTCTGTTTGTCAAAAGGGTTTTCCTAGTTCTGGAACATGAAAATTATTTGGAGAGACCTCACCCAGAGAATAATTTTCATTTCGCTTACCGGATTTGGAGTTTTGGGGAATATCATCTTATTTGTGAGACATGTATATACTTTCAACATGGGTATTGAGAACAAAAATATAGATGTCATTCTCATCCACTTGGCTTTTGTAAACGCAATCATTATTTATTGCATAGGGGTCAGAACCAAAGGCACAATTTTTTATATCATAAACTTCCTAGGTGATGTTGGCTGTAAAACTACATTTTATCTAGAAAGGGTTGCCCATGGCTTCTCCATCTGCACCACCTGTCTCCTCAGTGTGGTCCAGGCTGTCACCATCAGTCCTAGGAACAGCCTTTGGAGAAAGCTCAAACCACAGACTGTATGGCATGTTCTTGCCTTTCTCCTTCTCTTTTGGATCTTTAATTCCCTGATAAGCTTCAACTTGCTTCACTACATCACAGAAGGCAGTAGCATAAACAGGTCTGTAGTTGGGATGCATTCTGAGTATTGCTATATGCTGCCATCCTTGCACACAGGTAAATGGCTTTTCCTCTCCCTAATGGCTTTTTGTGATGTCACTTTTCAGGGTCTCATGGGCTGGAGCAGTGGGTCTATGGCTCTCCGTCTGTATAAATATCACATACATGTTCTTTACCTTCACAGCTCCAGGCCTGCAAATAATTCCAGGCCAGAAATCAGAGCTACAAAAAGTGTTCTCATTCTCATGACCTGTTTTCTTTTCTTTTATTGGACAGATTTTATTTTCTCCTTCTACACGGGTTCCACGGTGACAAATGATTTCACAATACTAAATATTAAAGTATTTTTAGTACCTAGTTATGCTGGTTTCATCCCCTTTGTTCTGATCTTCAGGGATGTCCTTGTTGCTAAATCCTACTGTGTCCACGAGAAATAACAGATTTCTTTTCACACCCAGTTCTTTATATGCTGGAATGGCTTTGCTTTGCCATTCTAATATATCACAACAATAAATTGGTTGAGAATTTTTTTTTTACATACAGCTGGTAGTGCTAGATAATTGAAGACTGCTTCAGGCTCTAGGAAGTGGGCAGAAATTCTCACTATCCCACTATTCCTATTACGAAGTTTAGCTGCATAGAGAAATCCAAGAGAGTGTACAGCCCAAAATCAGAGTTTTATTTCTCTGTATGCTACAGTTTTGCTTTTGTAAGAACCTCCAAATTTTTTCTGCCTTCTTGTTCCTTCTAACATATTTCCATGATCACTGACTCCTCTATTTATTTACAAAGCAGAGGCTATCCTAAACCAATGATCAGGAGAGCAAAGAATGTAAGGAAAGCCTGATTTATCTGAAGGTTTCTTAAAAAGCAGAGGTGACCAGGAAAAGAAGCTAATTCACTACAACTAGTAAATAAATGCTTGGCATTTCTGGGTGCCAAGCACTAGAGAACAGGTAAGAATAAGCACTGTACATGAATTCCAAACACATTAAAGACATTGACATGTGATCCTGATGACTAAAGAAACTCCATTTTATGCTAGGCATCCATGTTGCTGCCCACTAAGCCACGTGGCTCTGACTCCAGTTCCTAGATTTCCCTGATTATGCCGTTGTATGGTCTCTCTCTGTTGTTCTCTGTTGTTTGTTGTATTTGTGTTTTCAACTTTTGTTTCAGAGACTGAATCAGACTGAAAGCACAGAAAAATCTCCCCTGAGTTGCATGCTGTAACATTTTCAAGACTTCCTCAAGGCTGACTGCTCCTCCTGGCTGCTTGATTGTGGAACTCCAGCACCACTGGGCTGGGGCAATTGTCCTATGCTGTTCTACTTTATTAAAAAGCTGGCTCTGGACTTGGGTTATTAGTCCCGTCTTCTCCATACCCAAGCATATTTATTTAAAAATTTCCTCCAAATCTTTATTCTGGGTCAGAAGGCCGTCTGATTTTAAGACAAAGAGTAAACAAAATGCCCCCCCCCAAAAGACACTGTGTGTAAATAGCTAAAACATAAATTTTCTCTACCTTAATATTTGTAAGATTATTAAACATCCTTAATGTGAAGCCCCAAATTCTGAGGATATAAATGAAAGTAAAACACTTCAAGCTAAACATAGGCAAGTGTGTTCTGCACAGAACACTCCCGTACCAAATCATATGGAGCACTGCTCAGATCTGTTCATCTCTTTGCCAAGATGTAGCTAAAAACAAAATACAAAAATAATCTTTGAAGAAATGTAGAACTTACATAAAAGCAGTACAGTAAAAAGTACACAATTAAGCCTAGGATAACTTCAGGGTTGATGAAGTATTGTGAAGGAATGGAGATGAAATTTCATATCAGGGACTGACAATCTACAGAATGATTCCCTCCCCCTGACGTGATGACAACCTTAGAAATTTAAGTTATGACAATTTTATAGTGGCCAAGAAATAAATACTGCCAAGCAAATGTCACATGCCAGAAGAACTCAGCCAGAGCTTGTCTGTTCCACAACCACCGAGGTGAGTGGACCTGATAGTCATTGACTCACTTACATATCTCGGTTTCCCTCAGAAGCACAAATGTTGGTCTCTCTTTGAATGATCAGGGAACTGGGAACGGTGAGCCTTAGGACCTTTCCTTCTTACCTGAGATGGAAAGGTGTGTTCCTGGGGACAGAATGCTGAATGTTCCACTAACAGATGTCCTCAGCAGTCGTGAGCATCTCTGTCCCTATGCTCAGAATCTCCTCTCACCACAGAGCTCCACGGTGGCCTTTGTAGGGGGTCATCTCAGCGCTTCATCCAGAAACTCTATCAAGGTTCCTTAGAAAACTCACTTTTCTTCAGCTTCCCCTGTGTCCCACTTTATGACGCTGGCTGTTTCATTGTAGTTTAGAAATTTTATTCATCTGGTTGCAGTGAGTTTCTAGGCTCCAGTGGGTCAGCAGGCCATATTAGACATTCAGAAAAAAAAAAAGAGATTTTGAAGAAAAAGAAAGAGGAGAAATGAAGAACTCAGCCAGAACTTCTTCTGCATAAAGTCAGCACTTAAAGCAAGAAACAGACACAATCAATAAAATTCCCCCTGATGCTCTGGCCTGGACACCCACTATAAGACACTGACTAAGACACAGACACTGACTCTGGCCCTTGAGCTTCTTTTGTTCTTGGAATACTGAGCTTTTTTAAACAACAAATAATAAAATAAGCTTTATTTTTATTAGACTTACTCCTTTTATTTATGTATTTTAATGTATATATTTTGCCTGCGTGTATATTGTTGTGCTGTGTGTACACCTGATGCCCATGGCAGTCAGAAGAGGGCATGAGATCCCCTGGAGTTATATATGGTTTTAAAGCACCATATAGGTGCTTGGAATTGAACCAGGGTCTTCTGCAAGAGCAACAAGTGCTTAACCACTGAGCCAGCTCTTCAGTCTTGGTGTTGTTCAACTTTGAAATGTTTAGAGAGAAACTAGTTCAGTTTCTCAGAAATTTTTCCCAGTTCAGTTCCTGGCTTTGGGGGAAAAAGGATGGTAAAGTCCCAGAAGCCTGGAAACTCAGGGTGCTGTCATCTTCACAGCTCTCCTTGTCACCACAGGCACTGTAATCAGTAATAGAATGTTTCTGGCTCAGCAAATGAAATGGCCCTGGGGAGAAGGCAGAGCAGGTGTCCAGGATGGAGATGTGCAGAAGGAGCCCTTTTCCCTGGAGAAGCCAAACTCCCATGGTGACATCCTATCAGCAGTGACAGCTGCTGTGGGCACAGGGCTCAGGGATGATAAAGAGTGTCTGCTGGGCTGTGAGGACGCCCACCCTGAGCCCTGCATGGACCCTGCAGGTGAGTGTTCCTTCATGCCTTGACAGAGATGCTGTGATGTAGGAATGGGTAGGAGAGATTATTGAAAAGGAGGCTGTGCATTACTCTATCACTGTGTAAGTGGAAGGTGACAAAAATGCAGTCTCTCATTTCCCACCTGCCATCCAGAATTGTTTCCATGTCCATGAGGGAGCCGAATGCTGCTGTGTGTGGTGCACTGGGCCAGAGATGCTCATTTAGCCCAGGCAGGTACAGGAGACATGGGCTGAAATTTCAGCTTGAGTG